AAACCCTAATCGACTAAATCGCTCCATTCCGTCCCCTCTCTCCAACCAAGTCTGAATCTCAACCCTTGAAGGTGCGATTGAAGCTTCCTTGGTTCACACTTGCGAAATCGACATTTAGGTAACGTATTCTGACTTGCATTTGGTTTTAAGTTTAGTTTTTTTGTTTGTTTTCTCCATGCATTTGATTTCTGTTTGCGGTTTTGTGGATTTAGGTTAGGGGTAGGGTGCTAAGTTTGTTGTGAGGGTGAGGGTTAGGGTTGATGTGGTGCCTTAGGCTTAGGGTTAGGGTTAGGGTTAGGGTTTATGTTGCTGTTTTGTTTAGGTTGTAGTGTTAGAGCAAGGAATGAGTTTTTGTGATGTGCTAGGGTTAGGGTTAGGGTTAGGGTTTCTGTTTTCTGTTTTATTTTAGGATTAGGTTTTGTTTTTTATATTGAATTTTAAATTTTTTGATATTGTTATTGTTCATTGATTTTTGTTTCCACTTGCATTGTAGGTACAGTTGTTCCCATGGCTGGCCGTAGAAGACCGTCTAGCACTGGAAATGAGAGACGACAGAAGCTACGACAAGACCGTCCGTCTTCGTCAAGGCCACAAGAGGAAGACCCCGCTGCTGTCGACCTCCCATTCGGATACTTGTTCGAGAATGACCCGGTGGTTCATGAATCTTTTGTCCGTGACTTTGTTAACCGACCGATTTGTGGGGCCAAATCACTTGATACAGCCTTTTTTGAACAAGAAGGTTTTAACATTGTGAGGTGGTTGGAGGAATCACATCTTAGGACCTTGGCTGAACTGTCGTGTTCATATTCTGAGCTGCATGTACGGGCCTTCTACCATAACCTCAGCTACCATCAGGGTGAGCTGAGGTCTAGGGTCTGCGGGGTGGAGATCATCATGACGGCTCCCGTATGGTTGGAGTTACTGGGGTATGACTTTGATTCTGCGCAGACTGTGGAATATGACGCAGACAGCGGGACCATACTTCCAGGATATACACGCGGTGATGCCGTGCAGGAGCAGAGGAGAGTCCGTGGGCAACACATTGCCTATACGGTGGGGTTGCTTACTGTGGAGTCCCGCATACTACACTATGTCATCACCCACATTCTGTTTCCGCGAGCGTTCAATCATTCCAGGGTGTTGGAGCATGACATTCCCATCATGTGGGCTATCCGATTTGGATTATGGGTTTACGATATTTGAAAGCCTCAATGCACTGGTGAAAAGTCCAAAATACCCTGCGAAAGACAGCCTTATCGGTGTAGACTCGTCGTTCGTCACAACATTGATCCGTATCAATCTTGAACACAGAACCAGGATTTATCTGTGTCATGTAGGTCAGCCAACCAGGTAAGATGACATATGATTTTTCCCAGTCCCCAAACAACTTCACAATGGCCTTCATTTTAGCCTTCCTATAAGATATGTTGTATCCATACAAACTTTGTACCCTCTCCTGAATAAGAACTGGTTTCGTGGATGGATCTTCTTTTAACATACCTATACAAAATTCGAAGTCAACACAATCAATAAATATACCGAAAAATTAAACCATAAAAAAAAATTCTGTAATACATACTTATAATGGCTGCACAGATTACATCAGAATCCAGCTGTCTATGGTCCCGAGTAAGGCCTTGGTTTAGGCAAGTGTGTTTTTTACCCCACTTACTAACAACCCAACTATTTCCATTCTTGGGCAACATAGCCCGCACTTACCAGGGACAACCATCATTATGGTGTCGACACTTCATCACAAATCTATGGTCATCATTTTTTGCCACCACAGCAGTACGATGAGACTTCATACAATATAATTTGACTGCATGTTGCATTTCAGATTTAGTTCGAAACTCCTGGTACAAATATAATGGATCCCCTAAATGCCAGCCACCATGGATGTCATCGTCGCCATACAATATCTCCGTCTCATCATTAGGGTGAGCCCAATTAATGAACGAATAGTGTGGGCTGTCGTTCCAAAATGGCTCAATCTCAGAACCTACGTCCAAATTTAAACTTATCCGTCAGTACGAAAGAAAACACAAATATATATATATATATATATATATATATATATGCAAAATTAAAACTTTAATTTACAATCTTACCACTGCTAACAGGGTCAACACGGAGCGGTGGCATAACCTGGGAACTCAAGTTTCCTGAACTAGTATCAGCGTCAAAATTCCCCTCTACGTCTGTATCTGAGGTGTCACCCAGCGGAATAACACTCTCGGGTTCACCATCGTCTTCACTGTCCATATCCTCGTCATGCTCATCCTCATCCTCGTCTATTTCCCTCAGTGGTATCTGACTTAAGACAGGTGCAGGTGTAGATAAACCGACCACTCTGTCTTCTTGACTTTGACTTCTTCCATGCACAGGTGCAGATGAAGATTGACCACAGTCTATTTCAACATATATCTCAATAAAGTTTTGAAATTTTCGGTCCACAATTGCATCTATGACACAGTCCACATCTTCATCGTCACATATATCATTACCAATGTAGAATATAGCATCCTTACCAACTGTAGACTCTACCCTGGCGATCATCCGTTGAACGCCATGGCTGCCGTGTAGCCCCAATTTTTGGTGAATCCTCCCCTTCAGCTCATTGTACGTAGTGCCCCGTTTGATTTTCAACATTTTCGTTTTTCCTTCAAATTGAACACCGTTGGGGCCTTCATAATGCTTTCCATCATAATAAATCATGGTAACATACATGTTTGGACTTGAGCTCATCTTTCACACGGATTTTGGGGGTAGGAATCAGATTTTAGGGTTTTGGGTTCGGATTTGGGGGAAACAATTGAGAAATAAAGGAAAATGACAATGATTTCACAATTACTATGCCTTAGAGGTGGTGGGATGAAATGGAAGGGTGATTGGAAGGTTCACAGCTGACAAACAAGAGAAAGAGACCAAGAGAGGAGTTTTGATTTCGAATATAATGAAAATGAGACCAAGAGAGGTCTGGATATAGAGTTTTTCGCGACATTTAGTCGACTAAATAATGTGCTTAGTCGACTAAAAGTGCAAACAATGTAGTCGATTAAGGTGAGTTTTTAGTCGACTAAAATTCGCGTTTCATGATTTATGAGTTTAGCCCATTTAGTCGATTAAAAGTGCAACTTAATCGACTAAATGGGGGCAGGATGGTGGATAGTTCTGGGGAGGGGCAAATTGGTTATTAATTATTTAATTAGGGGCAAAAGGGTCAAAAAGCCAATATTACCCCATGTTTTCCTTTAACTTTTGAGTAATTAATGGATTTTTCTTTCTTTATTTTTGGTAAACGAGTAATTAATGGATTTGATTAGACCGTTGGAGTTGCTTCATTGTTGTACATTTTGAAGTTTCAAGGACGCTATAATAATGACTAATGAGTAGATATTTTCGATTACACGACAAGGGGGATGCGACACATTATATTATTATTTCATGAAATTGTTAGAGGCACTAGGCTTCATCTAAATTTGGGCCGTCAATTTGGTTAACACATCACATACTTGTAGTCCATCCATGAAAGTAAGTCTACACATCGTTATTTTATGGAAACTTTATTTTTTGGACGTCCATTTGTAAGCATATATTATATCAATGGGTCCAGAGGCGGAGCCACTTTGATGCCTAAGAGGTGCTTGGCTCTAACTTCCTTTCAACAAATTTCACTCATTACCATAACTTCAGGCAGCACGAGTAGCTAAAATGAGTTGCATCTTGGTGGAACACCGATTAAAATGTTACTGTTCATCAACTTTTTTATTTAGATGTCACGCGAACAGTGTTATTTCTCAATCTGCTACGGGAGTAAGTTGGCTACCCGATGTAGCGAATTCAGTTTGCTGACGTGTCACATTTCTAGTGGATATCTTTAAATAATTAAAGATAATTAAAACAAAAAATAAATCTGATAATTTAATCATAAAAAAATAAACAATAAATCCGATGTGTTTATCTTTCCGGATGTGAAACTGATAATTATTTTAAAAAAATTGGTTGCTGATTTATTTTATGTCAACATTGGATAGGTTGTGTCAATTGTCAAGATAATGGGTTACCGTTTATAATCTAACTTATTAAATGCCGAAGGTAGGCATGGCCACCAATGCAGGAGTGCCAATGTTGTGTTGGCCATTCTTTGCTGATCAACCAACAAATTGTAGATTTATTTGCAAATGAATGGGATGTTGGGATTGAAATTGATACCAATGTGAAGAGAGAGGAGGTGGAGAAAATGGTCAATGAATTGATATGGTGGGAGAGAAAGGAAAGAAGATAAGGCAAAAGATCATGGAATTGAAGAATAAGGCAAAGAAGGACACCAGGCTTGATGGTTGTTGTTCATTCATAGATGAAGATGGACAATGTGATTAAGGAGGTTTTGCTTAAACAAAATTAGATTAAAGAGATAATTCATTGATTTTATCCTCTTGATTTTGTTGCATTGTGAAGAATAAATGATACATGAATTAACAGTGCTAGTCATGTATTTTTCCCCAAGTTCTGTTTCAGAATTCAAACTAAGCAGTGCTTAAGGCAGTAGACACCTTAAATATGACTGCAATCCATTGAGTTAAAGAATATGTAACTTCTATAAAATAATTCAAATCTTGGATTAAAATATGTCAAGACTTCTAGTAATACTGTCATTTTGCAAAATCAATCATTTCAATATTTATATATTAAAATAGTTAAAGAACCTTTTAGAATGTTTCTAATCGTTCCAAATTAAAAGAATGACTTATTAGTTATTACCTAGCTACAGCTCGAGCAGATCTCTAATAAGCAGAATCCAACACAAATAAAAATATCAGATAAACTATTACCAATATTTTCAGGATGATATATTTTTAATAGCTTCTCAATGAATTGAATAATTGAAAGATGGTAATGAAAAAGAGAAAAGTAAAAACAAAAAAGACAAAACAGTCTAGTATTTGAATGATAATAATCTTGATGACATGCATAACAGAGTATATATCCTAGCTAAGCTAAGTTGACAAGGGAACTATACTTTCCACATACTTATTAATTTGAGAATAAGGATGTAGGTTGAGTACTTGAAATTGATGAAAAGGCTGAGCATCCAAATTATATATTGTCAACCGTTTTTCATCTTTATCTTGGTTAATGTTCTTTTGTCCAAGGAGTTGATTCCCATCCTTCCAAACGCCAAAGATAAAAATATCCGTTGGCCAAACAACGCTGTGTGTTTTTGTCCATTTGTGTTCATTCATAATCCAAATCTCCAACCGTTCTTGCTCAAGATATTGTATAATATAACCAAGGGAACCATTAACCTCAGCAATCTTATCAGTGTCCATATGACGTTCATCATTTGGAAGATCTACTGGAGCCGTGAGTTTGCTAAATTGATTGTTGCGGAAGTCAAAGCAAAGGATGTAACCAAAGCCACCTTCATAGGCAATCAACCAATGATAAACACCATTAACTAGAACACAACTATAATAGTATTGTGTTTTAACACTTTCGGCATGAGGGAGAGTAACAACATGGATAGAGGTCCATGAATTGGTACTAAGATTATAAACCTCCGCATATGCGATTAAAGGACGACATGAACCTTCAAAATTGATGGTGGGTTTGATAATTTTAAAGTCATTGGTATTGGGATCAACACCGAAGCCATGAAGTTTATAGGAAGGTTTTTCAGAAGGGAAGGGAATAAGCTTGGACTCTCTTGTGATAGGATTCCACAAAATTAATTGATAAACGCCGGATAAATCATAAATTTCTTCGTTGCACATGCCAACACAAAAGACACCGTTGCAAGAACCGTATGACATGTGAAATTTGAAGCTGTTGTCGAGGGGAGAGCAATTGAGATACTGAGGTGATTGTGATGGGTCATCGCATGTTAGTGATACGATCTTTTCAAATTCCATTTCTCTATCAAGTCCAAAAACCATGAGACGCTCTTTTGACATTTGCATGTTCACGTGACTCATCAAGAATCTGTGGTTTCTAAAGAGTGCATTCCATGATCGTTGAACGCACTTGAATCGCATCAATGACTTTGCTGGCAGCCTCACCAATATCTCTGACTCCAAATCTTCACCTAAATCTTTTGCCATTCTCTTGCAGTTGACAGTGTCAAAGCTGTGAAAGAATGAGATATGTTAGAAAAGAGAAGGCAACAGAGGCACACGCTCTGAGGAGGTTTTAGATTAGGGGATAATCCTATTCAATCTATTTTGAAAAATAAAATAAGAAACAAATCTGATTTGTCAATCCTTAATTAATAAAAAATATGTTATCAAAAAAAAAAAAATAAAAAAAAAAATCCGACATGCTAATCTTTCCCTATCTGCAACAGATTCAATTTTTTTTTTTTGTTGATTCATTTTATCTTAATATTGGATATATATTGTGTGAAGTTAATGGATAATCATTTAGAATCCAATGTTTTTTAGTAAACAAGGTTTATAATCCAATTTACTTGTTTTTTAGTAAACAAGGTTTATAATCCAATTTACTTGCCAAATATACATGATAGGTTAAACAGATTGATTCGAGGATTGGCTAGGTCTAATAGAAAAAGGCTAAAATATTAGATTGTTTGTAACCACAGATTCAGGATTACTTTTTTTTTTTTTTTTAAGTGAGGGGGGGGGGGGGGGGGGGGGGGGGGGGGGGGGGGGGGGACATGTATTTCAAAATTTTATAATCGAAATTATAAAATCATATAATGAAATAAAAATACTCATAGTATATAAATTATATTACATAAATCATAATATCATATAATATAAATGTAAATACTGAAATTAATTGATTTAATTACAAAATAAAATCAATTTTATTTATTATATATTAATATTGATATTTAGATAACCATTAAATATATGAAAAAGAATAGAATAAGGAGAAATGTCAAACCAGAAAAATATATAAGTGTCAAAAAAGAACATAACTCGCTGTGACAAAAGGTCAGGGTAGATTGTGAGATAAGAAATCTGACGGTGAAATTGTGAGAGAGACACACTAATTATTATTGACACTAAAAAGTCTTACAAAATTCACACTAATCATTATTGACTCTAAAAAGTCTTACAAAATTCACACTAATAAAAAGGACAAGTTATATTTTCAAACTTTTTTTATTTACATATTCTTATAAACTACACTAGTTTTCCTGGGAGAACACTAGTTTCACTAATTTTCTTTTTTGAATTGAATAGTTCTTGTTATTTTTTTGAATCCATATTTATCTAAGAATTGAATTTTCTTTTTGTTACTACAGTTCTTGTGTTGTTAACTTGATATCGATCGGCGCTCAAGTGATTCTTTCTCTGCATTTTGGTGTTTCTCTGATTTTCGTTCGATTAGATTAGGGTTGGTTCTTAAGTTGGCATGGCGAGAAAACGCAGTAGTAAGAAGAAAGAGGGCCATAATGTGAGAAAGTGGCAGGAGGAAAGTAGGTAGAAAGAGGATGGATATGGAAGAATGATTGATCGATGTTGCAAGAACTCAACAAGAAGCCAAGATCCCAGAAGGTAACCTGAATGGTGATGCATCTAATAATTTGGGCAAGAGTGGAGGTGTTTACTTTCCCCCTTTGAAGTTCGCTCGGATGATGAAAGAAGTTCAGGATAAAAGCAGTGCTGAGTATCAACGGAACGTGGGAGGCTCTAAGAAAGAGCTGTAATCACGTATATGATTGTAAAATGTAAATAATATGAAATCAAGGTTCATATTGTGCTTACCTTGTCGGTCATCACAAAGGTGGAGGAAATGATGACTATATGTCAGGATCTTCGTCTCTCTATTACCTATTCCGAAGGTGTCAGTCTCAGCGATTGGTAGTATGACGGCTCATGGGACTCAACCCTAGTATATAAATAGGTTAGAGAGGGATCTAGCAAATCCTGATTGTCTCAGAAGCCCAATCAGACACTAATGCCTACACTGTGCTGTTCAACTAGGCCCAATATCAAAAGATGTCAAAAGTCCAACTCAACATGATCACAATGGGCTTATCACAATAGATTAAATTGGAATATCCATTAACTCGATTATTTTAGAAAATACAAAAACATTAATTAATATTGCCCACATATAAAATTTATAACATTATCCCACTTGGGCTATATTAATTAATTTTTTTATTTTAAAATACTTTTATTTGAAAATGACTCTATCGGGTTAATAACAAGGAAAAAACACTTTACGTGGCCACGATTTTGAAAAATAATATTTCAATTCGAATACCAGCATCTCAACACAATTCAATCCAATATAACCCCGTCATAGGAACATGGCGATCAATATATCAAAAATATCATAGCATATGACCTTCCATACTCACATACAATGAGTATTACATCTTCATGAATCAAGGCCTAGCAGTGTAGTAAGAATTAGTGTCAAAATATGATCAACAATGTAACACACTAATTCTTATCGGTCCTCAATGTAATTTCTCAACAACATGAAATTACATTAGTGCAATTTCCAAGCAACATGAAATTAATCTCCATAATGGAATTTCTCAACAACATGAAATTGAATTACCACAATTTCAAAACAACATGAAATTGCCTTTTTCAATCCAATTTCTTAACAACATGAAATTGAATTAACGCAATTTTCAAACAATATGAAATTGCTAAGTTTAAATAAACCAACATGTCACAATACAACACGAGATCTCAAAATTTGTGACATTCAATCATCTTTAAGCTCACAACATGCTTAAAGATACTATTCATACATTTATTTCTCAGTCGACAGGAGAAATAACAATAGTAATGATTATCAATTATTAAAATTCAAACAAAAGTCACAAAAATCATCATCAGTTGCATGACCCAAAAAAAATCAAACTGAATATAATTTCCACTGATCAAGGGAATCAAAAGAATCTAAAACACTCAAAAAAAGCCTCGAGTACAACTCCCACTAATTAAGGGAATCATAAGAATTTAAATTATTCATATATACAAAAGAGCCTCGTTAAGTATTTCCTATAAAAGTTTTTCAGGTAAAAAACTTTTATTTCATTTAGTAAATCATCATCTTACTGAAAAATAAATGTCATCTGCATAAAGTACTAAGAACACACATATACTCCCACAAATTTACATAACAAGTAAATCAATCCCACTTTAGTGGTAATACCATAGTAATTCGTAGAAACTCTTACAAATCTTGCCCAAAATCATGATGTAATCCAAAAGAAGGTGTAACACCTTCACTGATCATTAGTTCAAAAACAATAGCATTCTTAAAAAGGTTTTACACTTAAACAATTCAAGCGGAAGCATATAACTCAATAAATAAAAATATTCTATAAATTACACAACTCCATTTCTTATAATTTGAAATAGAAAATACCTCAACAGTAGAATGTTGTTGTTGATGGCAAAAAATAACTGATTGACATACGCAATGCAATAAGATTAAATTTGGGCAATAACAAAATAATTTATATACCATAAACTCCCTTTTGGGCAGGGAATATAATATACAAATATTTTCTATCACATGAAGGTTTGAACAACAAGGAGAATTACATACAATTATAAAAATTCATCCCTTTGGGCAGACAAAATTTTAAATTATACGTATTTCTCCATAATACCACATGCAATTTAAAAATAGTTTATCCCCTTTGGGCAAATAAATACTTTTAAATCACGTAATCTAATCAATAATTTCTGCATGTAATTTCCCAAATTATTATATGTAACAACCCCTTTGGGCAGATGATTAACATATAATAATTTAAAATAATATATCAATAATAATGCCCAACAACGTAAAACTCTTAAGAACATGTGTTTTCAAAAACATGAAACACTTCATAACATGTGTTTCTAACAATATGAAACACTTCACAACATGTGTTTCTAACAACATGAAACACTTCACAACATGTGTTTCCAAAAATTATATTGCATTTGTCAATCCAACAAATTTTGCCACAACAAAATCATACAAGAATATTTATTATATTTGTATGATGAATTACAACTAATGTCCCACCATTTCTGTGATCCAAAGACTCTCAATATATAATTGAAATAATTAAGGGTGTTGAGGCTAATCCCTAATTAAATGAAATTATATGGATCACTTGACATTAATTTTCAAACCCAAATTATTGCTTCAAACCATAGGCAATAATACCAAAATATTCATCTCAATATTGTATGTATAAGGAAGCTTTAATTAATACATACAATCAAATCAGTATAATACATGACATAAAAACTTGCCTAATTTATTTAATTCACACGGTGCATAAATGTTAACCTTCGGTCATGGGTTCAGAATCCGTTATACTCATTTACCTTTCTTTTGCTACATGCAATTAATGTCAAATTATACAGTAGTTTTACTCTCTTTTATTCAATAAAATGATTCAGTAGCACCGTCAAATGGAGTAAATATTAATTTTTAAATGTTGAGATACAATCAAAAATCTCAATGCAAAATATGACTAATTGCATTTATTCTATTGTCAATCACAAGTCACAATCCAATACACAACAATCAATGAGACTAAAACATGGCAACAACGATTTTGCAATGTCAAAAACTAATGATGGTGAACTAGTCATAAATGTGCCAATTAAATAAAATATTGAAGAACCATATAGCCAAATGAACCATATAGCCAAAAACCAATTTCATTAAATTCAAAATGTGAAATGTGAAAACCCACTAAAATGTCCCAAAAAGGACAAAGTTTATTAATTATTAGACGTACCCATATGAACTTTTTTCACAAAACTATGCAAAAGTCCAATAATTTACAGGCCCAAATCAGATGCGCAATCTAAAGTACAAAAAATAACATGTCACCCAAAATGAATATTGAAACTTTAATGATTAAAGCCCAACAACAATGTTCGTACCCCACTTAATGTAATATAAATCGAATATCACTAATAATAGCAATTAGGCAAAGTAAAAAAAATTTTGCTCATATAATAACGTATAACGAATAGGGGTGTTCATCAACCGATCCAAACCGATTCAAACCGCGAAAACCGAACTGAAAAACCGATAACCGAATAAACCGAAAACCGAAAAATTGAAAACCGAAAAAAAACCGCAAATTTTAATT